GGAATTCCCAAACCCCCAATTCCAACAAAAATTCCTCCCAAAACTCCCTCAACTCCCCCAATTCCCAAATTCCCACCCCCTCCCCCTCCCCCAGCGGCGTTCCCGATCCCGAATCCCGGATTTTTTTTTCCCGGAATTCCCAGGATTACCACAAGATCATCAAGCAGCCGATGGATATGGGAACAATCAAACGGAGGCTGGAGAACAATTACTACTGGGGGGCGGCCGAGTGCATGCAAGACTTCAACACCATGTTCACCAACTGCTACATCTACAACAAGGTACCCAAAACACCCCAAAAACACCCCAAAAACGACCTGAAGTCACCCCAAAAACGACCTGAAATCACCCCAAAATTTACCTGAAATTTACCAAAATTTGGTGCAAAAATGGTGCAAAAAATACCGTAAATTGGTACAAAAATAATCAAAAATTGATATAAAATGGATCAAGAAATGGTATGAAATAGAGCAAAAATTTGTATAAAAACACCCGAAAATTTCTATAAAAATAATCAAAAGTTGGTATAAAAATGAACAAAAATTGGTGCAAAAATTGGTATAAAATTGACCAAGAATTGGTATAAAAATGTCCAAAACCTGGTGGAAAAATGACCAAAAATTGGTATAAAATTGACCAAAAAGTGGCACAAAAATGACACAAAAATGCCCCAAAAATCTGGGGGGCGGCCGAGTGCATGCAGGACTTCAACACCATGTTCACCAACTGCTACATCTACAACAAGGTACCCAAAACACCCCAAAAACACCCCAAAAACGACCTGAAGTCACCCCAAAAACGACCTGAAATCACCCCAAAATTTACCTGAAATTTACCAAAAATTGGTGCAAAAATGGTGCAAAAAATACCGTAAATTGGTACAAAAATAATCAAGAATTGATATAAAATGGATCAAGAAATGGTGTGAAATAGAGCAAAAATTTGTATAAAAACACCCGAAAATTTATATAAAAATAATCAAAAGTTGGTATAAAAATGAACAAAAATTGGTATAAAATGCCCAAAAATTGGTGCAAAAATCAGCAAAAATTGGTATAAAATTGACCAAGAATTGGTATAAAAATGTCCAAAAACTGGTGGAAAAATGACCAAAAATTGGTATAAAAATGACCAAAAATTGGTATAAAAATGACCAAAAAAATCCAGACAAATTCTCCAAAAAATCACAAATTCCTAAAAAAAGAAAAATTCCCCCCAAAAAACCCCAAAAATATAAAAAAAAAGAAAAGAAATCATTAAATAGATCAGAAAAAAACTTAAAAATTCTTAAAAATCCCCAAAAGAATCCCCAAAAAAATCCTTAAAAATAAAAAAAAAATTCCCCCCAAATTCCAAGAAATCCCAAAAAAACCCTAAAAAAATCAAAAAAATTTCAAAAAATTCCGAAAAGTCAAAAAAAAAAATCCCCCAAAAATTTCCAAATAAATCCCTCCACAAAAATTCCAAAAAACTCCAAAAAATACAAAAAAAATCCCCAAAAAATTCCCCCCAAAATAAAAAAAAATTCCAAAAAAACCTCTTTAAGAAAATCCCCCAAAATAAAAAAAAAAATCAAAAAATTCAAAAAAGTCCCCCCCAAAAATTCCAAAAAATTCCCCCAAAAAATCAAAATAAATTCCTAAAAATTCAAAAAAATCTTGAAAAAATAAAAAAAATTCCCTAAAAAAATTTTAAAAATTCCCTTAAAAAATCCAAAAAAATTCCAAAAAATTTCTTTAAAAAATCCCCAAAAAATAAAAAAAATAATCAAAAAATTCCCTAAAACTCCCCTGACCCCCCTGTAGAGTTTTCCCATCCCTGATCCCGTTTTTTTCCGCCGGCAGCCCACGGATGACATCGTGCTGATGGCGCAGACGCTGGAGAAGCTGTTCCTGCAGAAGGTGGCGCAGATGCCACCGGAGGAGCAGGAGCTGCTGCTGCCCCTGGCCAAGAACAGCCACAAGAAAGGGGCGGCGCGAGCTGCAGGTATTGGGATCGAATTCCCGGGATTTGGGATGGAATTCCCGGGATTTGGGATCCGATTCCTGGGATTTGGGATCCAATTCCTGGGATTTGGGATGGAATTCCTGGGATTTGGGATGGAATTCCTGGGATTTGGGGTCGAATTCACGAGGTGTCGGATCAGATTCCCAGGAGTCAGGCTCAAATCCTGGGATTTGGGATGGAATTCCTGGGATTTGGGGTCGAATTCACGAGGTGTCGGATCAGATTCCCAGGAGTCAGGCTCAAATCCTGGGATTTGGGATGGAATTCCTGGGATTTGGGGTCGAATTCACGAGGTGTCGGATCAGATTCCCAGGAGTCAGGCTCAAATCCTGGGATTTGGGATGGAATTCCTGGGATTTGGGGTCGAATTCACGAGGTGTCGGATCAGATTCCCAGGAGTCAGGCTCAAATCCTGGGATTTGGGATGGAATTCCTGAGATTTGAGATAAAATTCCCGAGATTTGGGTTCGAATTCCTGAGATTTGAGATAAAATTCCCGAGATTTGGGTTCAAATTCCTGGATTTGGGATGGAATTCCCGAGATTTGGGATGGAATTCCCGAGATTTGGGATCGAATTCCCGAGATTTCGGTTTGAATTCCCGAGATTTGGGATCCAATTTCGGGGATTTGGGATCCAATTCATGGGATTTGGGGTCGAATTTCCAGGATTTGGTATCGAATTCCCAGGATTTGGATCGAATTCCCGGGATTTAGGATCAAACTCTCAATTTTGGGATCCAGTTCCTGAGATTTGGGATCGAATTCAGGGATTTTGGATCAAATACCCAGGAGCTGAGATCAAATCCTGGGATTTGGGGTTGAATTCATGGATTCGGGATCAAACTCCCGGATTTGGGATCAAATTCCCGGATTTGGGGTCAAATTCTCGGGATTTGGGGTCGAATTCCCGGGCTTTGGGATGGAATTCTGGGATTTGGGATCGAATTCATGGCATTTGGGGTTGAATTCCTGGGATTTGAGATCAAATTCCCGAATTTGGTATCCAATTCCCAGGATTTTGTGTTGAATTCACAGGAGTCGGGGTCAAATTCCTGGGATTTGGGATGTAATTCCTGAGATTTGGGATCCGATTCCCAGGATTTGGGATCAAATCCCGGGATTCAGGGTCAAACACTCGGATTTGGGATCAAACTTCCAGGTTTTTTCTTTCCCCAATCCCTTTTTTGAGTTTTTTTCCTCTCCCCAAATCCCATTTTCCAGGATTTTTGTGTCCCCCAATTAATTTTACCAGAATTTTTGTGTCCCCAAATTCCATTTTCCAGGATTTTTTATGTCCCCAAATTCCATTTTCCAGGATTTTTTATGTCCCCAAATTCCAATTTCCAGGATTTTCGTGTCCCCCAATCCCTTTTTTCCAGGTTTTTCGTATTTCCTGATCCTCTTTTCCAGGTTTTTTGTGTCTCCCAGTCCGTTTTTCCAGGTTTTTTGTGCCCCCCAATCCCATTTTCCAGGTTTTTTGTGTCCCCCAATCCGTTTTTCCAGGATTTTTGTGTCTTCCAATCCGTTCTCCCAGGTTTTTTGTGTCCCCCAATCAGTTTTTCCAGGATTTTTGTATTTCGACGTCCCATATTCCAGGTTTTTCATGTCTCCAAATCCATTTTTCCAGGGTTTTTCAGCTGGAAAACCCCTTTTTTCCAGGTTTTTTTTTACTCCCCACTCCGCATCCTTGGGATTTTGGGGATTTTCCTGCCGATCCCGAGGAATTTTTCCATCTTTTCCGTGTTTTCCCAGCTCTCCTGGCGGGGCTGGCGGGCGGAGCCCAGCAGGTCCCGGCCGTCTCCTCCCTTTCCCAACCCTCCGGATTCGCTCCGAGCGCTCCCGAAATTCCCACGACCATCGTCAACATCCCTCACCCCTCGGTCATCGCCGCTCCGCTCCTGAAATCCCTGCAGCATCCCGGAGCCCTTCCCGCCAATCCCGGAGCCCTTCCCGCCGGAAATCCCGGAGCCAACCCCGGAAATCCCGGGAATCCCGGGAATCCGGGCCTGGCGGCGCCAGCGCCCACCCAGCCCGTGGCAAAGGTGAGGGGAGGAGGAGGGGGTTTGGGAATTGCGGGTGGGAATTCCAGGGGTTTGGGAATTCCGGGAATTCTGGGTGGGAATTGAGGGAGCTTGGGAAAGTTTGGGAATTGTGGGTGGGAATTGAGGGGTTTGGGAATTGTGGGTGGGAATTGAGGGAGGTTTGGGAATTCTGGGTGGGAATTGAGGGGTTTGGGAATTCTGGGTGAGAACTGAGGAGAGGTTTGGGAATTCTGGGTGGGAATTGGGGGAGTTTGGGAATTCTGGGTGGGAACTGAGGGGTTTGGGAATTCTGGGTGGGAATTGAGGGAGTTTGGGAATTCTGGGTGGGAATTGGGGGGGATTGGGGTAGAGAAATTTGGGAATTTTGGCTGGGAATTGGGGGGGGGTTTGGGAGATTTGGGAATTCTGGGTGGAAATAAGGGAGTTTGGGAATTGTGGGTGGGAATTCCAGGGGTTTGGGAATTCTGGGTGGGAATTGAGGGAGTTTGGGTGGAGAGATTTGGGAATTTCAGGAGCTGGATTGAGGAAATTTGGGAATTCTGGATAAGAATTAGGGGGATTTGGGAATTTTGGGGGGGGAATTGGGGAGGTTTGGGGTGGTGGGATTTGGATTCGGGATTTTGGGATGAGCTTCTGACTCCCAGAATGGGATTTAGGGACACTGGGATGAGATTTTGGGATACTGGGATGAGATTTTGGAATGTTGGAATGGGATTTTGGGACACTGGAGTGGGATTTTGGGTCCTGGAATGGGATTTTGGGACACTGGGGTGGGATTTTGGGTCCTGGAATGGGATTTTGGGACACTGGAGTGGGATTTTGGGATACTGGGATGAGATTTTGGAATGTTGGAATGAGATTTTGGGACACTGGAATGGGATTTTGGAATGTTGGAATGGGATTTTGGGATACTGGGATGAGATTTTGGGTCCTGGAATGGGATTTTGGGACATTGGGATGGGATTTTACCTCCTGGAATGGGATTTTGGGTCCTGGAATGAGATTTTGAGACACTGGGATGGGATTTTGGAGTGTTGGAGTGGGATTTTGGGTCCTGGAATGGGATTTTGGCTCCTGGAATGAGATTTTGGGACACTGAAGTGGGATTCTAGAACAATCTCCACCTCCCCCCACCCCTTCCAACATTCCCAAAAATCCCATTTTTTTCCCAGAAAAAAGGCGTCAAGCGGAAAGCCGACACCACCACCCCAACAACCACCGCCATCATCGCCACCAGCGGCGGCGAATCCTCCCCTTCCATCCCCGAAAATCCCAAAGCCGCCAAAATCCCGGCAAGACGCGAGAGCGGCCGCCCCATCAAACCCCCCAGGAAAGATCTCCCGGATTCCCAACAACACCAAACTTCCAAGAAAGGGAAACTTTCGGAGCAGTTGAAATATTGTAACGGGATCCTGAAGGAATTGTTGTCCAAGAAACACGCGGCGTACGCCTGGCCCTTCTACAAACCCGTGGACGCGTCGGCGCTGGGGCTGCACGATTATCACGATATCATCAAGCACCCCATGGACCTCAGCACCATTAAGGTAGGAGTTTTTGGGATTTGGGAATTTTTGGGGATTTTTTCGGATTTTTTTTGGAATTTTTTAGGGTTTTTTTTAGGAATTTTTAGGATTTTTTAAGGGTTTTTTTAAGGATTTTTTAGGGGTTTTTTTACTGTTTTTTTTAGGGATTTACAGGGATTTTGTTCCCGTTTTTATGAGAATTTTTTACAATTTTTTGGGATCCTTTTTGGAATTTTTTAGGGATGTTTTTCGGGATTTTCTTAAGATTTTTTAATGATTTTTTTAGGATTTTTTTGGAGGTTTTTTTAAGGATTTTTTTATTTTTTAGGCTTTCTTTTTAGGAATTTTTAGAGAATTTTTCGGGGATTTTTAGAATTTTTTATGGGAAATCTTTTGCAATTTTTAGGGATTTTATAGGGATTTTTTTGCAATTTTTAGAGGTTTTTTTTGGGGGTTTTGGGGGATTTTTTGGAGTTTTGGTTTTACAAACCCGTGGACGCGTCGGCGCTGGGGCTGCACGATTATCACGACATCATCAAGCACCCCATGGACCTCAGCACCATTAAGGTAGGAGTTTTTGGGATTTGGGAATTTTTGGGGATTTTTTCGGATTTTTTTTGGAATTTTTTAGGGTTTTTTTAGGAATTTTTAGGATTTTTTAAGGGTTTTTTAAAGGATTTTTTAGGGATTTTTTTACTGTTTGTTTTAGGGATTTTTAGGGATTTTGTTCCCGTTTTTATGAGAATTTTTTTGCAATTTTTTGGGATCCTTTTTGGAATTTTTTAGGGATGTTTTTCGGGATTTTCTTAAGATTTTTTAATGATTTTTTTAGGATTTTTTTGGAGGTTTTTTTAAGGATTTTTTTATTTTTTAGGCTTTCTTTTTAGGAATTTTTAGAGGATTTTTCGGGGATTTTTAGAATTTTTTATGGGAAATCTTTTGCAATTTTTAGGGATTTTATAGGGATTTTTTTGCAATTTTTAGAGGTTTTTTTTTGGGGGGTTTTGGGGGATTTTTTGGAGTTTTGGTTTTACAAACCCGTGGACGCGTCGGCGCTGGGGTTGCACGATTATCACGATATCATCAAGCACCCCATGGACCTCAGCACCATTAAGGTAGGAGTTTTTGGGATTTGGGAATTTTTGGGGATTTTTTCGGATTTTTTTTGGAATTTTTTAGGGTTTTTTTAGGAATTTTTAGGATTTTTTAAGGGTTTTTTAAAGGATTTTTTAGGGGTTTTTTTTTAGGGATTTTTAGGGATTTTGTTCCGGTTTTTATGAGAATTTTTTTGCAATTTTCTGGGATCCTTTTTGGAATTTTTTAGGGATGTTTTTCGGGATTTTCTTAAGATTTTTTTAATGATTTTTTTAGGATTTTTTTGGAGGTTTTTTTAAGGATTTTTTTATTTTTTAGGCTTTCTTTTTAGGAATTTTTAGAGGATTTTTTTGGGATTTTTAGAATTTTTTATGGGAAATCTTTTGCAATTTTTAGGGATTTTATAGGGATTTTTTTGCAATTTTTAGAGGTTTTTTTTTGGGGGGTTTTGGGGGATTTTTTGGAGTTTTGGTTTTACAAACCCGTGGACGCGTCGGCGCTGGGGTTGCACGATTATCACGATATCATCAAGCACCCCATGGACCTCAGCACCATTAAGGTAGGAGTTTTTGGGATTTGGGAATTTTTGGGGATTTTTTCGGATTTTTTTTGGAATTTTTTAGGGTTTTTTTAGGAATTTTTAGGATTTTTTAAGGGTTTTTTTAAGGATTTTTTAGGGGTTTTTTTACTGTTTTTTTTTAGGGATTTACAGGGATTTTGTTCCCGTTTTTATGAGAATTTTTTTGCAATTTTCTGGGATCCTTTTTGGAATTTTTTAGGGATGTTTTTCGGGACTTTCTTGATATTTTTTAATGATTTTTTTAGGATTTTTTTGGGAGGTTTTTTTAAGGATTTTTTTATTTTTTAGGCTTTCTTTTTAGGAATTTTTAGAGGATTTTTTGGGGATTTTTAGAATTTTTTATGGGAAATCTTTTGCAACTTTTAGGGATTTTATAGGGATTTTTTTGCAATTTTTAGAGGTTTTTTTGGGGGGTTTTGGGGGATTTTTTGGAGTTTTGGTTTTACAAACCCGTGGACGCGTCGGCGCTGGGGCTGCACGATTATCACGACATCATCAAGCACCCCATGGACCTCAGCACCATTAAGGTAGGAGTTTTTGGGAATTTCTGGAATTTTTTTGGAATTTTTTGGAATTTTTTTGTATTTTTTAAGGATTTTCTGAATTTTTTTTTTTTAGGGATTTTTAGAGATTTTTATGGGTTATTTTATGGGATATTTTAGGGAAATTTTTGCAATTTTTAGGGATTTTTTGAGGATTTTTTTGGGGATTTTTAGGGTTTTTTAGGGATTTTCTTATGATTTTTTTAGGATTTTTTGGGGGATTTTTGAAGGTTTTTTTATTTTTTAGGGATTTTTAAAGATTTTTTTTAAGGTGTTTTTAATGTATTTTAGAACTTTGCAATTTTAAAGGGGTTTTTAGAAGATTTTTTTAGGATTTTGTTCAGGTTTTTAGGAGTTTTTATGAGAATTTTTTTGCAATTTTCTGGGATTTTTTGGGATTTTTAAGGCTTTCTAATGGATTTTTTAAGGGACATTTTAAGGGAATTTTTGCAATTTTTAGGGTTTTTTTTAGGGAGCTTTTGGGGATTTTTTTTGCATTTTTGAGGGGTTTTTTTTAGGGTTTTTTTGGGTTTTTTAGATGCATTTTTTTAGGGCATTTTTAGTGGTTTTTTGGGGGATTTTTTAGGATTTTTTTGAGCTTTTGGGTCTGGAAAAATTGAGGTTTCAGGACCCTCAATGACCCTTCCATGACCCTTCCATTACTCTTCCATGACCCCATTGACCTTTCCATGACCCATTGACCTTCCATGACCTTTCCATCACCCCATTGACGTTCCGTGACCACATTGACCTTTCCATGACCTTCCATCACCTTTCCATCACCCCATTGACCTTCCATGACCTTTCCATGACCCCATTGACCTTTCCATGACCCATTGACCTTCCATGACCTTTCCATCACCCCATTGACCTTCCATGTCCTTTCCATGACCCCATTGACTTTTCCATGACCTTCCATGACCTTTCCATGACCCCACTGACCTTTCCATGACCTTCCATGACCCTTCCATGACCTTTCCATGACCCCATTGACCTTTCCATGACCTTCCATGACCTTTCCATGACCCCATTGACCTTTCCATAACCTTCCATGACCCTTCCATGACGTTTCCATGACCCCATTGACCTTTCCATAACCTTCCATGACCTTTCCATGACCCGATTGACCTTTCCATGACCTTCCATGACCTTTCCATGACCCCATTGACCTTTCCATGACCTTTCCATGACCCATTGACCTTTCCATGACCCCATTGACCTTTCCATGACCTTCCATGACCCTTCCATGACGTTTCCATGACCCCATTGACCTTTCCATGACCTTCCATGACCTTCCATGACGTTTCCATGACCCCATTGACCTTTCCATAACCTTCCATGACCCTTCCATGACGTTTCCATGACCCCATTGACCTTTTCATAACCTTCCATGACCTTTCCATGACCCCATTGACCTTTCCATGACCCGATTGACCTTTCCATGACCTTCCATGACCTTTCCATGACCCCATTGACCTTTCCATGACCTTTCCATGACCCATTGACCTTTCCATGACACTTCCATGACTTTTCCATGACCTTTCATGACCCCACTGACCCTTCCATAACCTTCCATGACCTTTCCGTGCCCCTTTTCCCGCCTTTTCCCGACGTTCCCGGCTCTTTTCCCGGCAGCGGAAGATGGAGAACCGGGAATACCGCGATGCGCAGGAATTCGCCGCCGACGTCCGGTTGATGTTCTCCAACTGCTACAAGTACAACCCCCCTGACCACGACGTGGTGGCCATGGCCAGGAAACTCCAGGTGGGAATTCCCAAAATTCCCGGAATTCCCAGAATTCCCAGAATTCCATCCGGTCCCAGGGGAAAAAAAAAAAAAA